TATATATATATATATATATACACATACATACAAAAAATTTTTATTTTTCACTCTAAGAAAAAAGATACATAATCGATATCATGGTCACATTATCTTCTCCTTAGCAACTAATTAAGAAAAAGTGTATCTAAATCTACGTTATTGTAAAAACTCTCTATTATCTTTGAAATTCTATTATTGATACATCATTTAAATAAATTCTCCAGGTTTATTCCACTAAAAAAAAAATACAAATAGATGACCAGATATATGACGCGGTAAACTAAAATTCTATATTACATTCTGTGGCACAAAAATGTGATCAGTAGCCCTTTGAAACTGAATGTATCATAAAAATAATAAAGTAATATTTTAAAAATACATTACATTCAGTAAAATACATTAAATTATTATGATGTTCAATCACCATTAATAAGAAAAAATAATACTATGTAGAAAGGAAAATATTTTATTTTATTTTATTTTATTTTCATGACAATTTGCTGAAAGGTAAGGTCGCAGCATACTGTTCCTTACACTGTGACGTTCTTGAGATGCACGTCCGCGCGTGAGCGGTTCGGCCGTCAAGCGTCAAGCGTCAAGCGGTTGTTGAAATTGAAGGAAAAATACTCAGCATTTCAGAAATCGGCCCGAAATGCGTAACTAATTTCGAGCATTGAAGTACACGTATATAATTTCTGTAATTTTATAAAAAGTATAAGGCGTACGATTTTGCTTATACCGTTTTTTTCCGAAATTCGAGGCTTTATTGTAAAAAACTGGTTATACATTTATGATTCAAAGTATTGTCCATCGCTGGCCACTACTTTCTCCCATCTTTCGGGCAGCATACGAATCCCGCGTCGGAAAAACTGGTCATCTTTTGAGGCGATCCACGAATCGATCCAATTTTTTACTTCTTCATAAGACCGGAAGTGCTGGTTAGTCAGGTCGTGTGCCATTGATTGAAACAAGTGATAGTCAGAGGGAGCAACGTCTGGAGAATACGGCGGGTGGGGTAGGACTTCCCATTTCAACGTTTCCAAGTATATCTTGACCACTTTCGCAACATGGGGTCGAGCATTGTCATGCTGCAAAATCACTT